AGAGAGAGACCTTGGGAGTTTTCACTGAGGGGTTTTTTAAATCAGTGAGAAAGTGCAAGGGTCTTACTACAGAGAAGCTGTGGCACATGCATGAGGTGCATGGCCATTACTTTTTTATACAATGAAAGCTGAGACATGAAGTTGTCTGTGTTCGGTGTAGTTATCCTGGCTGCAGCCATCATATTTTAATTGCAGAAGCAGGGGTGGGGAACTAATTAGTGAGAGGACAAGCCCTCTAGTAAAAATACTGCAAAAGGATGTAGGAGAGGAGAAGTAATTTCCTAGATCTTGTATAGTTTTCCCAATGACATCTCATGTTCCTACATCAGTTTCTCCATTTGTAAGGAAAAGTAACCTGTTTTCTAGTTTGGGGCTCTTTTTTTTTTAAGCAAGAGAGAATTAATATCAGACTTTAAACAAAACAAAACAAAAAAACCCAAACCAAAACCAACAAAACCCCCCAAAAGATTAGTAATGGATATTTAGGCACTTACCTTTCTGAGGGGCTATTTGCTCATAGTAATATTGACAAGAAACAGTTATCTGTCATCTGAACTGTTTGTGAAGAGCTTGAATAGTTAGCATCTTTAAAGTGTCTCCATGATTTATTTCTGCTTTCTCAGTGTACTGAAAGGGTTGAAGCTAACATTTTGCATAGCTACAGTTTCTAGCTGATGAGAGTAGAACTTCAGCTCGTATGGGGGAGACAGGGATGTACCAAGAGATTTTAATATATTAACCTTAGATCAAAACTGAAGTCATGATAATACTCTTTTAACAAATATATTTTCAATTCTTCTGGTCTGTTTTCTTCCACTGTGGAAATAATTTGGGGGTGCTGTACTCCTGGGGCAGGATACCTTTAGCTTTAGTCACAAGATCTTGCTCATTCTTTTCCTCAACACACCTCATTCCCCTCTGCTCACCAAATTTGAGCATAAGCTGTGACAATGCAGGCTGAAAAAGAAATTTTGTAAAATAGCAGCTGGCATTCACAAGGGAAGTACATTCACAAGGGAAGTACATTCACAAGGGAAGTACATTCAGGTAATACCGCAACCATTGAAAATGGTGTTTGTATTGGTTTACTTCGTGACATTCTGGACTAAAATAATCCAGAAGGAGGTTGAGGGAGTAGAAGAAGGAATATCAGCAACCATGTCCGTTAAGCCCGAGGAACTGCGCGTAAAGTAGGCGGGCCTGTACAGCTGCGTGCTACCCCAAGCCGTCATATTGCACCCATCAGCAAGTTCAGTGCTCCCTCTCGTGGCAGATTCTGACTGGTAAGTCCATCATAACTCATACCTGTTTGTGGCAAAATGTGCTTACAGTTAGCTGTGAGAAATACCTGGCATCGAACTATTTTAATGCTACTATGTACCAAGCTTAATAGACTTATAAACACAAATAGCACTGAATTCTTTTTTATTGACATTGGGGGAGAAAAATCTTTCACCATCTGATTGACGGAAGTTTGCCAAATGAAAATAGACAAAACAAATGTTTATGTACGTGCAAACATTGCAGATCAAACTGCTAAAAGAAATAACTAAAAGACAGGTCTTGAGCTAAGATCAAGCAGCAGAAAAATAGCAAATAGGTAAATGACTATTAAGTAGGTCTTACTTTGAAACTTCCCATTTAAACAAAGAATAAACAACAATAACACCACCAAATAAAGCCACAGCAGGTAATAGTTGCTCTTCTAAACTTTTATACACTATATATTAATCACTCTGTCTTTCAGTTATTTCCTCTGATAAAACTGACTTCTGTGAAGTCTCAGCAAGGCCATCTTGGCTGAAAGCATAAAGTTAGACAGAAGCCTGTCTAATGCCCTGTTATAATGAAGAAATGGTGGGGTGTGGCTTCTCTTTTCTTTCATTTTCTTTGTTGAATATATCTGCAAATGATAATCTGATTCTGTGCAAATATTAGATTTAATTTTCCAATGCTGGCTGGTGTCAGAAGATCCTGGAACGAAAAGGTGGCTCTTGGTAAAGCAAGATTCTTCTGGATCCGCAGGCAACATAGAAGAAAGTTTTTGTTTTTTGTATAAATCATGTTTTATTAAATAGCTTTTTTTTTTTTTTTTTGTAAACAGTTCTTCTGGGTTTAAAATTTGTTTTTAAGAGGTGAGCCATCATGGAGCTATCTGACATTTCCATTTTGTCTTTAGAGGTCCATTTTGGCTCCAGTTCCAGGTTATGTTATTCTATTATACATCATCAGAGGCAGGTGTTCAGCTTTAAATATTGACAGATTTTTCTCAGTAGGAACATGTTGAAGCTTCTAACTCTGCTAAACATATTCATTTGACTGTTACAATCCAAAAACTGTAAAAATGGTGGAATGGAAAGATACAAACAGTATTATTGACACTGTATTTTCAAATGTTTGTAGTGAGACCCCATGTACCATAGATTTTATTTAAAAAAAATCATATTTATATCCATTTACATAAGACTTACACATTTTAAAAGAAATACATACACAGTAAATACGTAAATGTCTAGTATTTTACAATAAAACAGATGGAACAATGTAAAAATGAGTGGCTTCATCTGATAAACGCTTTGGGTGTGCATTACTGCCAAATTTCTGATGACAGAGATGCTGAGAGCAAAGGGGGAAGTTGTCGGTGGTTTGGTTTTTTTAGTAATTTAGGTATTTTTTGATTCTTCTTTTAAATTAACCAATACATGAAAGGAACATTTTATCTGTTTGTCTGATAAACTTTATGTGTTCTCTTCCCTATTACCCTGTTCTTGCAGAGAGTTTTAATGCTCGTTTTCCTAAGTAGTGGTAGTGCACTTCAGGTAAAGTAGAAGAAAGAGATGACATCTAAGGGAAGAAAATAAACAAACATTAATTAGTGAGATTCTTTATTTCTAATTTTGTCTAGGATGCAATGACACCAGAAAATACTATAGCCCTAAGTAAGGTATTGCATGTTTTACTAAAATATGGGTTTTGAGTATTGAGGAGATACGCATTTGTTGCTTCATTCTAGATCTGCAACATGAATTTATTAATAATGTTTTAACCTTTTACTAATGTATACTGATTTTTGTCCTACATCAAAACAGGCTCCTGCTTATGTTCATTTTACAGTTGTTTTCTTACAGTTTTCATTCAGCGTTGGGGTTACTTTCCTGCATCTGGAGGCGTTTGGCACAAGGCTGAACATGCATTTTAAGTGTATAGACCTTGTTTATGTACTCTGTGATTCTCCTTTTTCACTGCAGCTCAACAGCATTTACTTTTTTCACCCTAATGATTTCTTTGCTATGGACCAGCTGTTTCCAGATTATCATTTACATCTGTTTGGAACTCTTCTTCTCCATCTGATTTTTTTAGAAACCCTTCATTGATAAAGTACATTGTTGATTTTGCCAAATTCCCTTTGACATTTCATTAGAATAAAAATGAAACGAGTATGTTCTATTGCCCCAGCCTGTGTCAAGAAAACTGTCCTGGCTGAGCCTTCTGACTGGATGGTGACAAGTATTTCAAAAGAAGGTGTTGGAAAAGCATAGACAGTGTGACTGCCCAATCCACTGGCTGTATAACTGCACTTCAGATGCTCAGCTGGGCAACATAACAGTCACTGCAGCTGAAAGCTGGACCTGTCCCATGTGCTCTGTGGTAAACTTCATTGCAAGATTAAACGGCCAGTCACCAGCAGTCCTAAATGTTCTTAAATTTTTGATCTTGAGATCAAAACCACTCAAACTGGGCTGCACAGAGTAAACACGTAACTGTTCTGAAAATGTCAGTTCATGGTTTCTGGCAGCTTGTCATGGTGGTTTCAACAAATGGTTAAAAAAAAAAACCTGAAATGCAACATGAAAGCATATGAATTGAACCCAGCTGCTATGAAGCCACTGTAAGACACTGTAAGGTTGTCCCTAATTGGTATTGTTGGTATAAAGTATTTTGAAATACGAGGCTTTGACATTCTCTATAAGAAAGGTGAGTAGCAGAATGCAAGAATCTGCAGCCTGCTGTGATCACAGGCCATCACGTTTGTACAGCTGCAACCCGTTTGCAGCTCTTTTCAGTCTGCTCTTCAGATGTATATTCCCTTTCAGTATTAAAAAAAATCTTCTGTGTTGCTGTTGTGTGATAGCTCACCCAGCCATCCATCCCTTCTGCTGCTCAGGTAGAGTCAGTCCCTGATTCTGCGCATTCAGATAGTAGCCATTTTTTAATAAAATTTCATTATGGAAATCCAAAAGTATTTTAACTTGCTGTTTGGTTTCTAATGTGCGTGACATTTTGAAACTGCACTTATGAGCAGTGCATATACTAAAGTTCTAGTTCACACCACCTTGTTGCTTCTCTAAAAGAATTATATGGTAAGTGAAAAGAAGTAATAGTATATTAGTGTCAGTCATCTTCATATATTAACCTTTATAATTTAGATCTAAATTTGACAGAGAGTGCTCAGGCATTTAAGATTAGAGTAATTGGCAGAAGAGTGGACAAGCAGCAAGCACTAATGTGATATATATCACTGATACTTGAAACACTACAAATACTCCTATAGGAATTGAAGTTAACTTGTATAGCTTGTTTAACTTTGTATAACCATATTTTTGCTCAAAATACATAACCTCCATATAGACATAGTACCAGCAAAGTTTGCTACCTTATTTCTGTTTGTGGCTTACTAGTTTTTAGGCAATTTTTGAATACAGTGGGAATAAGCAGTTTGGGTAATCTTAAGTTAATTTTTGTTAACATACCAATTTTCAATTTCTGGCCTTGTTGCACTCTTCAGACCTATTAGAAAATACCGCCTCCTGTGCCTGGCCCATTACTGTTGGCCTAATAGATTGCTTGGCATTTGAACTTAATTTCTTGGTCATACTTTATTGTTTTCAGCATTGCAGTTCTGAAACATATAGGAGAAAGGCATCTCTGCTGTCTGAACCCAGTGAGAGTACTGTCATTGACTTTACTCACATGACACCAAGCTCCAATATATACATACATACACATGAAAACATTTATATGGTTTATGTGTTTCATCTTTGTAGGACCAGCTGATAAACTTAACTATTTTAGAAAAATAAAAAAAAAAAAACAAAAAACCAAAAAATCCTGTGTGTATTTTTCAGTGGTGGCACAAAAAGTTCACTTTTCAACTAGATTAAGATTTTATATCCTTGCAGTCTCCTGAAGATCGATGAAGTAAGGCTATGTCATCAGTAGGATCCTGAGCAATCTACATTTTCCACTGTGAACATTTGTTATTTCCCAAGCACTTTTTGAACATGCCCAGAATTTGTGAAGTCTTGATGGCCCCACCTCTCCCAGTCTTGGAATCTAAAAAAAGGATTTTGTTGCAGATCTTGGCATGTCTTGCCTACAATATGTAACAGCTATTGAAGATGTTTAATGCCTCGCAAGGTTTTGGTGCTGTGCAAATATTCTTTCCAGTTCCCCTGCAATTTCCTGAGTAACCAAATGGTAAAACTGTTTTACTGAGAAAATATTAGCATGAAATGGTGGCATATTGATGAAAGCACTCATCATGTTAGTATTTTTTGCAAATCTTGTGATGTAGCAGAAAACAGCATATTTCCACAGAACTCTGGAAGGCTGAATCTGTGAAATTCAGAGCTGTATTCAAAAGATAGATGGTGAGAAATGAAACATGAATTCCAGTACTACATTTGATCCAAAGTTGAATCCAGCTCAGAACATCCTTTCTTTGCCATTGGGTAATTCTGAATTATTTGAAAAGTGCAAGAATCTCTGCAATAGATAACTTTGGAAGATTTTCTGTATAGGGGAAGTTTCATTCTAGCTTTATGTACCTACCTGATGTTCTAAATTGAGCTATAGCTCTCATTTACAGAAAAAAGGAAATACCTTCTGCTTTACTTGTTTGGTGGGTTTTTTTTTGCTCTCTCCCTAGCTCCTGGTAGAACTACTTCAAGTTCTCATAAAGTAAATTCACTCACTGTGCCTACTGCTGTCTTCCCAATTCTAGCTTTAAGTTTGAGAGCACACAAATTACGTTGTACTTGGCGAGCTGTCATCTCAACAGAGTTGTCTGAAAACTTTTGTCTTTTCTGCTAAAGTGATTTCAGCAGAAAGAACCTGCTGATTGAGATGGGGAAAAGAGTAGTATAGCACCTCCTGGACTGAGCTTGAGACTGTTGTCATGATCAAATGACTACCCTAGTAAGTCTGAGTTAGGTCATCTGCTCCATGCTGGCTCTTGCTTGAATAATGCCAATGAATATTTGATGTAGTGTACAGTTATAAAAAGCTTTCATGATGGCCCCTTATGAATACTCACAACAATTCAGTGCTGGCTTCTTTGCTAGGCCTTGTCAGCATGAGTATGTGCGAACTGTTGAGCTGTCTAACCTCTGCAGTCGTGATGAAGCAACTGCAAATTGCAAAAAAAAAAGAAAAAAGAAAAAAGAAAAAACACAAACAAACCAGAATGTCTTTAGAATCATGAACTAAAATAAATCAGTCTGTTTCCCACTGGAAAGATGGCTATTAAATTGCTCTGTGTCTTTCTAGGACATGATCTGAGCATGGTCTAGTTCAGAATTCAGAGTGTCTTCATGTCTGGTTTACTACTTAAATCTGTCTTAAGTGAATACAGTCTAAAACTCTATTTATTTTGTCTTTGTTGGAAGTCCTAAGACTGTACCTATCATGCTGTTTAAATACTATAGCATTCTTGGCACTGGGAGATAGGAAGCCAAATCCTGTAGGTCTTCAAAGCTACCTACCTTTAAGTCTACTGAGTTCAGTACCCAGCTCAATAATAAACTATCTGGAAGACCTCAAGTAAATCACTAAATCTTTGTGCCTTAGTTCCCCATATGTAAAATGGGAATAATATCTTTTACATCATATTCTACATCATAGAAGATTAAATCCATGAATGTTTGTAAGGTTCTCAGCTACTACAGTAATGTGGGCCATGGAAATGCCTAGGGAGCTACCTTTATTTGTACATAGAATTTGCCTTGGAATACATTCTTGTCTCACAGCTTCATCATTGCCAAGAAGTGCAGGATTAAAAGCAAAGCGTGCACATGAGCAGTGGAGTCAATGGTGATGCAATCAATAAATTATTCCATCTGTAACTGCAACTATAAAGTATTGCTTTTAAAGGTGAGCACTTTAATGGAATTTAGATGGCTTTAATGAAATATAAATGGCAATGTTGTTGTACCAAGTTCATTCAAGAGTTACAGAATGTAATCACTACAAGCAGTGTATTAAATTACTTTGAGATAAGTCTATTCATAGATCTAAATTCTCTCATGAGGAAATAAACTGCAGTATTTTAAATGGGCCAATCTGTGTACTGGTATTTCTCAGTACTTCAGACAGGTATATGTGGCTTTATCATCCATATACCTGAAGGAATAGCTGCAATGGGATTTGTCCCTTCTCCCTGTCCTCTTAAAACGATTTTAAAATTTTATTTATTTTTAAATTATGATCTGCTTGTTACTTTTCCAATCATTGCTGAGTTAGTGCATCTTGTGGAAATTAAAAAATTCCAGAGAAAATTGACTGGTATACTGTAACTCAATTAGTACCTGAAATTCAGTATTTACTAACTACAGTACCCATCTGATTTTTATTAATTGTTAGCAACTTGAATTATTTAACTGTTAGTTAAGCTAAGCTGGTTAGTTTGAAAGTCAAATAAGAAAATAAAGGTGATAACCCTTTCTAAGTTCATTCTCTAAGATACAGTCCACCTAATCCTCGTGGCCCTCTTCTGGACCTGTTCTAACAGATCCATGTCCCTCTTGTGCTGGGGGCTCCAGAACTGGATGCAGTACTCCAGGTGGGGCCTTACAAGAGCTGAGTAGAGGGGGAGAATCACCTCCCTCGACCTGCTGGCCACACTTCTCTTGATGCAGCCCAGGATACGGTTGGCCTTCTGGGCTGCAAGTGCACATTGTCGGCTCAAACCGACATATCCAACCTAAGTCTACCTTTTTCATATCCAACCTAAGTCTACCTTTTTCTAGTTTAAAACCATTACCCCTCGTCCTATTGCTACGTGCCCTTGTGAACAGTTCTTCCCCAGCTTTCTTATAGACACACTAACCTAAAGAGGTTACCCAGTTGAAAAGTTTGTTTAGATATTACATGCAATTTAAGATGAAAGTAAATAAATTAATTCCTCTCATTCTGAATGTTTCCTTTGCAGATCTAGGATGGCTAGATTGCTTTAAAAAAATAAATACTGATAGTCTGAAGCAAACCTGAAAAAAATCAAAAGTTTTCCATTCCTCAGTTCAAATCTCCCAGACGCCATTCATCCTAGACATTAACGCATCTGTTCCAGTGCAAGACAGACATGCACTAAAAGTCAATTTAGCATGCTAGAATAAGCCTCTTGCTTTTCAACAGTAAGTACAGAAATGACTGCATACCATCAGTCGCCATCTTCCGCGACTGCCCTGATGTTGTGGTTAATCTGAACCCAGCTGGCAGCGTTTCCGAGGAGCCTGGCATCATGCTGATCCCGTGAACCTCACGTGGAGGAAACTGTCGTCGCCAGGAGGGGCCACGTCTGAAGTTCTTGTCATCATTCTGTCAACACACAGGGTTGCATTTGATAAAGCAAAATTATTTTTTTTTTAATTAATTATCCTGCTGTCTGCTGCCTTTCCCATTGTCAAAGGTATTCCACGACAACTACCCTGCTCTGTTGCACTGCATCCAGTAACTGCAGTGTGTTTGAGACACTCTTCTAAAAGTAAATGCTTTAGAAATATTAAATGCCAGGGTGGAAAACTCTTCTTAAATCTCTGGCTTGATGCAGCAGAGGGTTTCAGTATAATCTGAAGTAGAACTTAAAAAGTCAGATCTCTTCCAAATACAGTGACAGAAAGTGCAATGGTCTGTTACTTAATTAGGAGGCTTACGAAAAGTTCTAATAAAGAATTAAGTGTTCATGTGCATGCACAGAATTCATAGGCATCTCACATTTTCAGCAAGTTCTTAAGAAGTTTTATTCCTCCTCACGTGCAGAAGTCCAAGTCTTGAACATTTTTGCACTGGACTCTTGCCTCAGGATGAATATTTTGCATAGGTAGATTTGAGATTCCCCCTCCTAGATAACTGCCCCAAATCCCATTCTAATACATACTGATTAACTTTGAAGAACCAAAAAAAACCCCCCAAAACCCCAACCAACCAAAACCCCACCAAAAAATCTACTTTTCTTCTTTCTTCTTTATTGTTAAAGAAAAGGTGTAAGTGCCCTAAAGAATAGGTTGCACAGGCATACCCCCTGCCCTGCCACTTGTTCTGGCCAGTGAAATTTCCACTCCTTTCTGTGTGTTTCCTCTATGGAAAAATGTTCATCCTCAGGTAAGAGTGTAGTGCCAAATTTAGCATCCAAAATGATATGAATATGTAGCCATACTGAGGTAACTTTAAAAACTTTGACTGGCATTTCCTAGTCTTAGAGCTGTAACTGACTCTTTTTAACCATCTGTGAATTAACATGTCTTCATGCATTCAAATTAATTTTTAGATTTTAATGTGATATTTTATAAATACTGAAAATAAAATGAATTACTTCCTCAAGTCGTCTTTCAGTTCCTAGTGCTAAAAGGTTGTTGTATTCTCTCTCAAGGATCTGCCGTGCCTAGAGATACCAAAGTAAAAAATTAAAATGGTTGAAGAGGAACAAAAGGCAATAATGGGTGCAGAGTAACAAACAAGTAGCATGAGCAAACTTGCCTGTGTGTTTTGTGTTGGAATCTGTAATAATAAAGCTAAACTGCTGTAATCAAAGTTTTCATCCAGTGCTATAAGTGAGCCATGTACACCACTTTCTAGAATATTATTTGCATATTCTCGGAGGCCAATAGCTTGTATCCAGCGTATGACTCGATCGTTGCTCCACACCAGCACATCTGTAAGGACATAACACCGGTTCAGTCTGCTGATCCACCATAACTTCCAAACTATACAGGTTGTGCATGCAGTGTGGACATCATACTGCTTTATTTCTTAAATGAGGAATGCCAGCAAACTATTCATATAGCTCTAATGGCTTCAATATCTCCTATTCAAAACCCAAGGTTTGGGAGCAACTGTGTGATTTTAGCTACCTTCAAGTTAAATGTTTATTATAAATAATGTTTTAAAGGAGAAAGGTGCCTCCAGAGGGCACCTCCAGAATGCAATTCCTCCCACCTCCTATAGAAACCCTTTTCAATTCTTAGGCAAGATTTTTGCAAGGGCATAGGAGAAATAGCCATTCCTCGAGATTTCACTGGAGTTATGTATTAAGCATTTTGAGAGTTGGGTCAGCACCTACCATTTTATAACATATCACAAAGAACACGATGAGTTCACAATTTTAGAGACTAAAACTATTTTTAGTTCAGAAAGCTGGTTGAGCTGTGAAGGTCCATACCAACTATAAAGCTAAGGCAAAAAAAAAAAAAGCTAGGAAACTATTTTTGAAGGTTTTGGCTATTATAAAAGAAGTATCCTACCCTTCCCATAAGATTAAAAGGAAGTTGCTTATACTGATCTTTATATTTGTGAGTGGGACATATAATACTGAGTTTGTGTTATTAGGTGATGAGGCTTTTTGCTGAGCCCTCAGAAGTCCAGTTAACCTAGCTGTTCTAGGAGCAGGCATTCTCCATTGCCTGAGCAAGAGCATCACAGACTTTGAGGATTGGCTGCAATGCAGCATGGCAGCCAGGGATCACTGAGACCAAATCCCACCTGGGACTGTGTCCAGCTGACTGATGCATGACAGGGTGAAGATGGCTATGGGTTATTACCCTTGTCGTAGTGGTGACTAGCATTGAAGCAACACCAAAATTTGAGACCAATACGCAGTTCCTCTGCATCAGTATTCCAGCTGTACCCACTCAGGCTGACTGACACTGGTGCCTTTGCATCCAAGGCAAAGTCTTTGCATTAGCACATGCCATCATCTCATCATCTGCCTTGAGCGAATGCACACTTTCACTGTAGCCATCCCTCCTTCTAATTCCTTTTTTTTTTTTTTTAGCGCTTCCAATCAGCATTTTGCTTGAGAAGTGTTAACTGCTGTCAGTCTCTACAGCTGAAAATGCATAGAGGAATCAAAGGATTCACTTCTGATAATGGAAAAAAACAACAACCCTGGTAGTTATATATAAAAGGAAACACGCAGTGAGCCTGCAACTGCTCTAGAGAGCTTTACACAGAAAAATACTTTTAAAACAGCTGTTAAATCTTCTAATAAGGCTAGTTCTGTTAAGAACTATTCTTATATACCAACCAACTGCCTCAGTGGCCACCTCTCCAAGCAACATTTTCTATGATACACATTTTGAAGTAAGAAATCAAAGGCAAAGCTTTTCAAAAGCAGGAGCACAGTGTTATAGGGTCCGATTCACCAGTGTTGCCCCCAGCATGTGCCACTGATCTGCAGGCTATTTGGCCTTCTGCTTCTGAGACTGAAAAAGGCTAGGATAAGATCTGTTCCCAAAATCCAATTTAGCAAAATGTATGTATCAAACCTCTATTTGGAATTGCAGCCCAAATTTAGCAGAGTACTGAACTGTGCCTCATTTAAGGAGATGCTTTGTGTCCTGAAGACAGATAGACTTTGGTTAGTTTTACTTAAAGCACATACTTAAATGTTTTGCTAAAATGGCATGACAAGGGGTTAATAGTGTCAAGCTTCAAAAGAAACATTCCCAGTATTCATGCCCAGGAACTATCACCTTTTATTTCATGCTGACTCATTTCTCTTCGCTTTTCCAGTTCTTTTCTATCATAATTCAACCTCTTTAAACACATGATTCCATATTGCAAGCTTGTTCTGTTATTTAAAGAGAAACATTTACAGAGTTAATAAAGATAATTTTGAAAATGGGAACATATGTACGATGCATTTCCTGCATTTCACACAATGTGTTTCATGGTGCCCATGTAGAAAATCGTAAGGACAGAAGGGAGAGCAAAACCATTAAAAACTCCACTGACTTCAAAAATGAAATGGAAAAAAACAACATGATTATGTTTGAGTAAACGTTCTAGCATAAGAAACCCAAAACATTAAAAAGCATATTCTGAAAAGGTCAGCCATTCCAAGCCATGCAATGTTTTGTCAAATCAGGCCTCAAAAAAGTGGCAAATCAGACAGTACATTGAAAAAAAAAATCCACTTCTTGTCACATACACATAATTCTCCCTAAAGTCTAAATGCTTTTATTTCCATATTTCCAATTTAGCTTGCTGGCTATATCCCTAGATAACCCAAACAACTGTCAATTTACTTGTAATGTTAACAGCTTTTATGTGCTACACACAACAGCTTTTCATTATTATGAGATCTCAGGGCTTCAAATCTTAGTCTACCATTTTCTGATACTTTAATTAATAAATTATTACTGTTTCTGTGTTGTCAAGGCTTTATTTATATATTAATGGTTCCCCACTCATGAAATTTTTCTGTAGCGGTATCTTAGTTATGAAAGACATAAATGCAATGCAGTTGCAATTGATAAAAGAATCTGTCTCAATTCAGATTTCTGACTCTCAGCACTCACTTTTCAGTGTGGTTTTCCAAGCTAGAACAGCAGAAAGTAAGTGTATTTATTCTGTGCAGCACTGAGCACTATGTCAGACACAAACGTCTTTACAGGTGTAGTCTTTGTGCAAACATACCGATGAAAGCTATCCACCATTTTTAAGTGCACGCGCAGATCTTTCTTTGTCAGGTGATCTAACATCCTTGCATCTACCAGGCATTCCATAAAATAACTTCGGTACTGAGGCAAACCCAGACTGGGGAGCCATTCGTTACCTATCCATTCATGGTTCATATCACCATAAGCCAGGGTCTACAGGGAAGAAAAAGGCAAGGGGAGAAAATTCTTCAGTTTTTGTTCAAGGTTGCACCACAGACTAAAACCAGAATATCTATCATCTTCTATGCTTGTTTCTAGTGAGACTTCCTAGCTTAGAAATCCTGTCTAAAAGTACTCTGTTTTTAAAATGTTTTGACATTTCAGGTGGAAGGCACTGCGAGTTGTTTGTTCATAACAGCAGTTTTGCCTGTTCTGCCTTGTTTTCTATCTTTGTAAATTTTAAACATTTTTTGTAATAAGATACTACAGTTTCAATTTTAAGTTTTATATGCAAGCAAACTTATTACATAATCAAAATGTCTTTGTTTCACAATCTTACATGTTTTCAATTGACCTTCTAGAATACTTATGCTAGGCAAGTCCTACACTGAACTTGGTAATGCAAGCATGGCCCCAGGGAATCAACTGAAGTGTGTGTCACCATTTAGTGGGCGCTAGGATTTCCTAAATAGGATCTAATGACACTTCATGGTTCCACACCTGTAGTCCTGTTGAGACTAAAAATTAATTTCAGTTGTTTGTCAGCCAAGCTTATGTTCACCATCAGTCAGAGCAGGTGAACGCATACATTCTATTAATAAGATATTTTCAGCTGTGAACAGCTCAAACCTAAGGGCACAATATGCGGAGCTCAATAAATTAAAGATAAGAACAAACCAGATTCCTCCTAGAAGCTCACATTCAAGCATTAAGCTACTTCCTTGTTCAGCTAAAATGTCAATAGGGTGAGGAAGAAAGTATATGAAATAAACCCCCCCACATGCATGTTGAGCTATTTTTTCATGGGTTGCACAATTAAGATGCAAAATATATAGATTTTACATGTCACTATTGTCAATTATTTTGGTACTCCTAAAACTTAACAAAAAAGAGAACACATAAATTGCAAAATTAACACCTCTTCAATAGGATCGTGCTCAGCTTTGAGCATCACTTTCAAGCCTAACTTTCTTTTTGGTTTTGTTTTTAATGTCTCCTGTCACTACAGACAAATAGATAATACAGTGCAAGACAGATATATTTTCTCTCATTCTTGTGAAATTTTGAAGAGAAAAGGAATGCAATAAGAAAAGACAGTAAGATTGTATAAGAGTGTGCATATATTAGAGAAAGAAGTTGAAAAATGCACATAATTGATAGCCTAACTAAAGTGAAAAATTTTGTTCCTAATTATACAAGACTACATGTAGACTGATATTTGGGTGTGATTTATACAATTGTTCTAAACAAAAAAAAAAAAAAAAAGAAAAATCTGGTGTAATTTTAGAAATCAGATCTCAACCTTCTGTCATATTTTATTAGTGTATTCTCAAAAATGATGAAAATATTTTTTCTAGATTTAGCTGGGAGGTAGAAGATGTCTCTGGAATGTAGCCATTTACTTTAAGAAGAATATTTACAGCATATATAACTCTTTGTGCTTTACCTAGCAAACCTGTCAAGATAGTATTTTCATTGTTTTAGAAGAGCTCTAAAATGTGTAAATCGTAATTTAATCACTGAGATACTATCACAATACTATAATCCTCCATGTATATTGATACACTGTTAATTACATTATTATTAGCTTTCAGGTCAAAAGAGTCATGTGAAAGGGTCATACCTGTGCCCAGCTTCCTTCTTCAGACTCTTTCTGTGTTATCAGCAGGAAGCAATTAGTAAAGTAGGTAAAAAGACAATAAAAATGAATTATAAAAAGATGTGGTTTTCATGTGTATGTTAATCTTAGTAGAAGTGAAAACATACATATAAAATGTGCTGATAAAATAACTCCAGTCAGTGGCAATGCCCTGGACTAAACTACCTTAGAAATTAAAAAAAACCCAAACCATAAAATCTTAGTAGGGCAAATCTAGCTAAGTTTTCAAGACATTAAATCATTATAGCTTGGTGAAACTTTACAGCATTATCTTAAACACTTTTTATGGCTTCCACAATGACAAGACAACAATTTACTTACAAAATTGGGCATCTCTAATGCCAAATTTTGTTTCTAGTTATATTTTGCAACATTCTCAATAAAAAGCTATCTCCTCGTGAATGTATTGTGAAAGAGCTTTTTATATAACATTTTTTATGGCAAAACCATATTTTTCTGGCTGGACAGTTAAACCGGATCAACTCTACTTGTGGTCAATTGAGTGTTGTTATCTTTACCAAAAATAATAAAATTGAAAGTAAGCTCAGTTGTAACACAGAAATTATCAATGAGAATCTGCTTCATGAATGTTCATGAGAAAACTTAAAATAATATAGCAAGCACACATTTCTAAGAAGTAAGTCTTTATTGCATCAAAATTTAGCTTCAGTACATCCCTCACCACTTATGCATAGGGCTGACTATAAAGTTTTCCAAACTGAAGACAGGTTTTTCAGACATCTCACTGTAGGATTGTTCATGTTTTATAAGCACTATTACGGAGTTCTTGTGACATAACACTAAAACCAAAACCTAAAATAACATATGTTCCAAGTAAATGAAAAAAGTCAGAAGTATTGAATAAAATCTATTAATATTTGTGTCCCTTCAAGGCAGGGAGAGGCTTGGCAGAAATAAAAAAACAAATTACACACTCCATGCACCCTAAATGAAAGAGCATGAACACACAAGCATGGACATAAAAGACTCAGCGTTAATGAAAACACTGAGTTGTGTAACACCACTCTCAAGCTTTTTCTCATCTCTTTCCATTTCAGCAGATATAAAACTAAGTTTAGAAGAGGTACTGTGGAGTAGAGTACTATGGAGGGGAAATTTTGCACCTGTAACTGTTGACAATTTCATTTCACTAAATGAAGATTCACACTTGGCAGTGAAACTATTGTGTACTGTAAAACTTCAATATTGGTTTTAGGTTCACACAATTTTTGTGATGGGAATACAGTTTGTAATTTATTTTGCTGAGAAATGATGTAACTGTTCTTTAAATTTAATTTCGTTACGTGATTTTCTTATGGCATGCTTGGGAAGCATCCTACGGAAGACACAGCATCTGCTTTAAAGCAGATAGATACATCCTAGTTTTCTTTCGAGCACTGAAGCCATTTTAAATGGAAGTGGAAAGACTAACCGTTTTAGCTGGAGCAGCAAGATTTTCCATTTCTTCATGGGTCACCCAAACATTGCCTGAGGGCTATGGACAAGGCCCACAGGGAGGCAGATGGGATCCACATTAGGTAAGCAGTGGTAAAGAAGAAAGGCAGCACCACTGTAAGTTAACAGCGTATAGCATCACCATCAGCACAACCACGTTCTTGCCTCTACCAAGCTGCAACTAGAGACAACTTGTTTTGTATCTTTCGTTAGAGGATTCTGAACAGACATGATGGAGTATTTCAACTAGAACTGATGGATGAAATCTGGCAGAGCACCGTCACAAAGGAAAGAATAATAATTAAAACTGCATTTCACACACAAGTGACAAATACAACCTTTAGCTCATAGCTCTGTCTGGAGGAAAGCTTCAGTTCTCAATGATTTTCCAGCCTAAATATTCTGCACACATCACACGCTCATATTGTAATCTAAATAATTATTACTTCCCCCACATTTCTGTAAATCAACAATGTCAAGAAAATTCACTTGTAAAACTAATTTTCCTCATCCTATTGTTTTCAGTCAGCTTTTTACTGGGACAATGAGATGAGGCAGGGAGGGAGCTAGAAGTCTGCTGTGCATATATGGTGAAATGTGCTGTGTTTTCTTGAGAGCTGCAGTAAATCAACTCCTTTCCTGAGAAAGGGGAGAGGCAGAAAGACTTGGGACTCAGAAATGCACATACCAGGGTTGGGCAGCTTTGTGATGCCAATTACTCATGAAGAATCAAAAAAAAAAAAAAAAAAAGAAAGAAAAAAAAAGGCAAAATTAGCCCCAATGTTTTCTACCTTGAATGTACTGTTTTCTCACTTCATAAGTGTCAATGTTCTTATGCTTTGAAATATGCTCTTAAAATAAAAATGAATTTTGTTTAGTAATTCAACGTGATGTTGAGTTACTGCTCAACATCAGTACTGCTTTACTTAGGTGAAATCAACTATTATTCATAGTGTTTCCATGGTTATGACATATACAACCACTCTGAGGGGAGAAAATATCAGATGGGGAACTATAATATTTAAAGAACCTTAGCAATATGAAGATAAAAGGCCAGTCAATAGAACATTAAAGTCCTGTTGCCCAGCTGCTCATATAACTGAGTGGTTCTGTTACCCCTCAAAGGTATCACAATTCTCATTTCCACCAAAAGATTCTCCATGAATTCCATGAAGATGAGAGATTACAAAATATAAATATTATTAACATCATTATTATTGTTATCTTAGTATTAGAAGTCTGGGCTGCACTACTTGAGTAGGAGTCTTTGTCGTTCATTTCTGTGACGTGTTTCCCATTGATCTGATTTTTTTTTTTCTTACAGTCTCTGTTGCCTCTTTCATAGCCATCACCATCAGCCTCAGCTTGAAACACCCCTCTCATTATCTTCTTTCTTTGTGTCCTCATCAGTTTAGTCTGTTTTTCTTCATTTTTCAACTAAAAGGTGCTGTTTATCTATAGCACATTCTTACTCTCCCCTAATGTACTTCCTTGCTCTTTTTGATATATTTGCCTTTCCTTTCAGACCTGTATCTCTGTGTTTCTTCTTTACTTCCTTCCCATCTGCTGCCACTCTCCCCCTTCTCTCCCTTCCTCCCCAAATGCACGTGCTCCACTTCTCCCTTCCAGACTCTCCCTTCACACCTCCAATCATTGCTTCTCTTAAAAGCATAAAGAACCTAAAGCCAGCTGACTCAGATTAGATAACATTTGAAGGGATGCAAAAAAGGGGAATGGGAACAAGGGTCAAAAGAGCTGTGTTCCTACATAACCTCTACCTTCTCCTGCCTTGCCTGCCGCCTCCCTCCCTCCCAAAAAAGAGAAACACAATCTGATTTGTTTGTGAGAAATGGCTTGAAGGAAGAGAAAGGAAAAATACAGGCAAAATTACAAACAAGATGCTCAATACTGATCATTTAGATAACATCAAGGTTAATAAAAAGCATGATTTAAAAAAAAAAAAATCTGCTAAAGGAAAAATATCACTGATCAACAATCAAGCAAGTGATGAACAGGTCCTTTTAAGTCTCTCTAGGACAGTTCCCACTGATTGTGAAATGTGTGTTACCACAGAGCCATTCTTGTACTACAAAAGTCTTTCTGCAGATTCCTGTAGGGTGAAGGCAGGAAGAAAAAGTTAGCTGAACAGGACTCACTGTTCTGGATGTTGGAGGTGCAGATGGACTTGTCAGTGATACCATCTCCTGGATTGCTAATCGGAGCTTTAAGCGATGAAGAGGATTGCTGATTCCAATTTCTCTTTGAATCTCAGTATCGGACAAAGCAGACATAATAGCTCCGCTCTTCACGTTGGCACGGCAGGCAGCAACATACCAGGCTGGCATGCCTAGCCAGAGCTGTTGATAGAAAGACCACATTCATCCAAAGCACTGCTTCATTTCTCATATGAAATTAATAATCAAGGCACCTATCAATCTGAATAAGCATGGTAATACACGTGTTAAGTATAGATCTGTTGTACTTCACTATACTGCTATATAATATACCTTCAAATATAAATTGTCAGAAGCACTTTTCAAATGTACTGATTAGTTACCAATGGCTAAGTAGCATCTTATTCTAGTCTGCTTTTTCTGAAATAGAAACCTGTCCATCAGCATACAATGCAGTGATACTATGTGATAGTAGCTGTTATATTCTACATTCTCAGATTTCTTTCATTAATTCTAGGTAGACAGCAATTAATGGCTATCTATGTTTGAATTTCAGTGGAGCATCTGTGATTGTAAGTGAAGTCATCAAGAACTCTGTCTCTCTATGCATCTCAAATAGGCCATCAAAACTGTCAGTTTCATGATTTCCCTTAGTAATGTCTTACTAAAAGAGGACACAAGGTCAAAGAAAGTATTAAAAACACGCTATCAGTAAATTCACCAGCAAATCTGTAAAGCAGAGACAAACTGAAAGGACTTTTATTTAATTTCTCACAGTACAGGAAAGTACTGTGTAGTTATTAACAAGTTTATACTTTATCTGGGACATATTTACATATTTACTGGGACAGCTGTTAGAGCTCTTTCATGTCACAGAGAAAACAGACTTGAATGTCAGATTCCAAGAGAGCTCAGACAGGCTTTCCTGTACTGACTCCTGATGTTTCACAGGGCTTGAGGAACGACTGCATCATGTTTCAAAAAGCCCTTCCCACTGATAGGATGAGCCACTGCCTCCCACCCAATGCTAGTCTGAACCTTACAAATATGATCTAATTCTAACTAACTGTACTGAAATATAAAGTTTCATGAAAGTCAAAAAATGGAAAAAAAAAAAAAGATTACACCCATCTGTGCTTAAACAAAGGGCTGTGAGGAAACTATACATAGCTTTAAAATATATTTAATATTCTCATTTAATTGGACATTAATTTTTTCATATGTGCACTTGAAAAGCAGGAAAGTGTAAATAATGGGAGTTATCCACCCTGCAGAAATAAATTCAAATGTTTGCTGCTAATTAGGTAAGTTAGTTCTTTAACAAATTAGGTAAATAAGTTCTTTAACAAATAGCTGTCTCTACCAGAAAATACAGTTAGATGAAAACAGTCTCTAAAAAGAGGGCACACACAGTATTTGTTCTAGGCAGAGAACTCGGATTGACATACTTTTCCAGAATTTGTTAAGAAAACCCACAGTTCTTAAAATTATATCTCAACTTTGTCTGTGCTGCATTCAAGTGACCATAATAAATTCCATTGCTGGAAAGTTAAGCCCTGAAAAGCTTGGAAATGCCACAATGCCTCTATGCAATCACATAGACTTATTTAATTTGGGCCTTTTTCTCCTTTGATATTAATCTTGGTTTTTAGTCCAAGGGTCACATATTATATTTTTCCCAAGAAAGTACGAAATGCACACAGTGTCCATCTGCTGATTGAATGCACTGATGCTCACTGAATAAATTCAGCACTTCTGCCCTCATATCTTTTTACCATCAGTATTCAATCTGTATTGATTTGGAGAGCCTAAATGAATAGATAGAGCCTAAATGAATAGATTCAATCTGTATTGAATACTGCAACATAAACTTCCTTATGGGTTTTCCTGTGCTACTGTCATCATATTGCCCAATAAATTAATAGACATCAATTTCTCTTTGCAGCCCCTCTCTAAGACAGTGGGAAGCATATCCTATTTTGTAGCTGAGAATCAAGGCAAAAAAAGATGATAGCTTGTTACAAATGTCTTCAAATTTTGGATCACTCTGGAGGACCTCAAGGGTAGATTTTTCTCAGTATTCAGATATGTATAAACCTTTGTATGTTCACCTTTCCAGAAAACCAGCTTTGACTGTAATACTGAATATTTCTGACTGATACAGTCTGCGCTAGTTACAGAACTCTGAAAGTCATATGAAAAAGTCAGGTAGTAGACAAATTAATGAATGTTCCATATCAACAGAGATTTTTTTTTGGAAGGAAGATACCATCCTATTTTCCAAGGTCATGCAAAAATACTTGGACTGCTGTTCTGCAGTTTTCATTTTATCTTTTTCATTAGGTACCTTCAGTAATTCCAATATGAAGCAGAAATTTTGTAGACATTGGCTGCTTTCATTCCTTGTACTTCATTTATTCCCTGAACATATTCCTGCTTTGGAGGGGGACCTGGTTTTTTAATTGAAGAGAAAAACTCCACAAATCCTATCTGATGATTAATGGATGACACCCACAGCAGACATGAGAACAGGTAGACATAGAGATGCTTAGTGGAGACGAGGAAGAGCCACCTGTTCTGTGAGCCAACAAAGAGCTTGTATCTGCATGGAACTGATAAGCCTTGCCATGTAAAAGTGACTGTAAATTTGTATAAGAACAGCCTCACTTTCTGCCTTCTCCTCCTCTCAGCATCTGGATAAGACTTTTTTAAATAGTCCTTCAGGTATAACATTCATTGGTTTTTGCCAAAATTGATGGACAGCTTTTCTGAATGTTTCTCTGGATGGGTTCCAAAATCTATTCATTTAGGTTCTCCAAATAAAGGAGAACTCTCTGCAGATCAGATTTCAGAGATGAAGCCACTGCCTGTAACATCACAGACATTTCAACCTGAATCTCACACATTCTGGTGAAATTGCCAAGAGGAACACCTCTTCTTCCTGTTCTGAGTGACATCTAGGTAAATCTGCCCTTTCCCATCATATTTCAAAAAGATAGAAAGTTACAAATTCTTTAAGTTTATTACAAATTCTGAAGCTGTAGCTTTTGCGTTAAGCTCAAATAAAATTTGATAGCTAATTTTTTTTTTCTTCTTAGCACATCATCCTACATAAACTGTCCGTGGAGCTCCTAGACATTTAGAGATTGAGAAAGTATAAGATTTCAAAAATTTGGTGTTCGAGTGCATTTGATAACCCTTTTTTTCCTCATCCCCGTGTGTAATCCTATCTTACTTTTTTCAGCTCTAGTCTCTGATTTACACCATCCAGTGTCAAAATCTGCTTAGTGCTCATGGCACGGTATGCAGGGGAGAGAGGAGGAGACTTTAACAGTCTCTTTTATATTTCTATAGTGAAATTGCCTACAAACATGACTTACATGGCCCAATTATGGCCAACACTTACCTCCAGCCAGGCAACCACCGTTGGCCCATCCCACTGTGCAAAAGGCAAACCCTTTCTCCGAGCTTCTTCCAGAAGTTCATGTCTAGAAATGGATCAAAAATTGTTAAACAGAGAGGTATGTGTAGGGACAATATAGATGCAACCATGCTTTTTTGTTAAGGGTAACAAAAGTGAAGCATGATTACAGGCAGAGAAAACACATAGAAAACACCCATGAACAATACAGTTCCTTCCCCTTTTTGAATGGATACATCTATTCCCAACTTTCATTTTTTTTTTCCTTGGTGCATTTTGACATCCCTTTAAGCACTGAATATACAAAAGGTGAAGTTTCTGTCTGTTCTTAGCTGAAACAATAAAGAATTAGGACACTCTATATAAAAGGATTACCCATATAATAGAAGACATTGATGAAGAGAGAAAACAGAGGGATTCCTCCTGAGACTAGCTTAGCTCTCATCTGGTAAGGACCTAGAAAGGCTCAAAATTCCCAATTTCTAGACCTGAGTTAAGCATAGATGTAATGCAGTCAGGTATGAGAGGTCTTTGTGTTTGAAACACTAAACCCTGCTAGACCCACTATGCACAATTGTAGGGTCCCTGGGGTACAGCTATTCTGCATCTTAAATAAACCATCCACGGCTAATTAAGAGTTAGGTGCATCTTTAGCAATTCCATGTTATTTATTTATTATTATTATTGCTTGTATGCGAAAGAAGTCTGTGCAGTTTACTGATGGATATATTTTTAGAAACATAGAACTGATGTGGTTTCTCAGTTTTATACGTATACATATATACACAGATATGTTTCTATTGATTTGATCAGATACCAATCCAACTCCTGCATCTGCAGCTTCTCTGGACCTCAATGAGTGTGTTATGTAAAACATCATTCTCAAAGTTTAAAATATAAATTTAATACAGCAGCATTAAATATTTCGCAAAGTTATGTATAGGCCAGCCAGCTAGACTGTCAGGAGAATGCTCTATATTAAACATGTTAAGCCATTTGACCAGACATTTTTTATTCCTGGAGCAGGAATAAAGAACCCAGTGTGGTGGTGGCATGGAAAAAGCTGTCCTTCAAAAGTCTTTTTTTCTGCTCTGTAACAACACATTTTCAGCTGCCTCCTACTGAGTGAAACACAAAAGAATGCTCTCAGCAAAAACCTGTAAAGAGAAACAAATTAGACAGGGACTATGCTAATGTATTAAAATTTGCTTACATTCCCACATAACAAGGAAATCGTGGACTTATAGGTTCAATTTTGCTCTGTCCTCCTTTATTACTAGGGCCTTTGTGGTTCAGTTATCCCTTGGCAATTCTTCACTGCCTTAGCAGCCTTTCAAATATATGTATTACAAAAATGACAGCAGATAAAAGCGATGGAGTGATCTTTCTTATAAGGCGTACACTTTTTGGGATTTTTGCACTGTCGAGTGGCCAGATTGATAGAATTTGGCTTTAGTAGAAAATGGATCTCAAATACCAATTTTGCATACATGTTTAAATCCCTGAGTCTGAATATTAATAGAAAGACAGCTGCTTTGCTTTCTATGCTTCTGTTGTAGTAATATGTAAAACTACAAATACTTGACAGCATCACTGAAGCTTATCTAGCTTCTCCTCCCATATATCCTTTGCAGGATATCTTATGCTTTGTCACTCAGATGTCCAAAGACACTGTAGAGCTATTCTTGCTTTTTGTGAAAACAAAATCCTCAGTAAAGTAAGAAAAAGCTGCTCTCTGAGTACACAAACACCATGTTACCTTCAGTAGCTGGTGAAGGTGCAAGAATCCCATTTTCCTAGGGAGACAAGTAGTGAAGGCCAATAGAGACGTACACACTTGGCTGCTTAGGAAAGCAGAATTAAGGCATGGCCAGACTCGACCACCCACCAGCCACCTGTGGATGAGATATATCTGGGTTGCAGTCTTCCCTCGGAGCTGGCTCTGCAGGGTGCCTGCAAAGCTACAGCAGTCCTGTACCTCCCTCGGCTGCCACAATGGGGTTGCACAGCTCCTGCTACCAGGGCTGTGAGCTGACACAGCTGCCCTCAGGGAGAGCCAAGTTTTCAGGGATGTGGCCAGTTTTGGTGTCCCATGGCAGAGCAACCCTGTGTGAGTTGCTCTTTCCCCAAAGCCATCCCAAGCCCAGGGAGCAGTCCCTTCTGCAGCCAGAAGTCCTATAGAGACACTATCCTTGGAGGAACCTGAACCCAGATTTTTCCATATCTAGGGTATTCTCTTTGCCCATCACAGCTGAAAGAGCAGGGCTGGCTATCACAATAAGGAAAAAAAAAAAAAAAAAGGCTTTGAGGGCCACTAGCCTTCCTTGCTTGTGTTAGTCTCCTGCTCCAAGCAGGAGAGCAGCAGCATGTGGTCTACAAGGAGATAGGGTTCAGGAGGAACTTCTGGCCTATTTCTTTGATTTGGTGTTAAATACCTATGTTGCCTCAGAAACTGAAGTGGCATTTTAAGTTCTCACTCCCATGAAAAACTTAGTTCCTTTATGCTGGTATTGTAACGTATTTCTAGGGAGTTCCCTGTGAATTTGCAATATTTTAACTAGCCTGAGGTTTGGTGTGGAGCTTTAGCATTATTTCTGCGCTTCTCAAATAAATATGCTCTCCAAGGCTAGGAAATCACTTCTATTTCTTCAGAGGCAGTCTCACTCACAGAGCTAAAGGAAAAAAATAGTTGTGGTTATTGATTTTGGCTGAAAAAATGGGGCCAGGCCAGAAATGGGATGCTCTATATATAAGCTCTAGCCAAAGACTACAGTATGATAAATACATAGTCCAAAAGGTCTTGGCATGTAGAAGTAAAGGGTTTTGGTTTGAAAATATAGTTAGTGTAAAGTTAAAATCCTTTACTTAGACATGTACAGGGAACAGCCATCATAAACCCTGTGCCTCACTTATTGATGTGGAATACTAAAAGGATTTTTATAATATTTCTTTCACTTAAAGAATTTTACGCTTCAAAACTTATACTTACCTCAGCTGTTTCATTTAAACACCTCTCCAATACTACAGTTTATTTAAATTATATTTTACTTTTTGAACAGTATTATTTGACTGATTTTTAATACACACTAGGAGATCTGCAGAACCTGAACCTTCAATTTCTAAACTGGAACTAAACCCTGATTTTCCATTTTTTTTACTAGAGAGATATTCTTTAGGTGGCAGTTAAAGCTAACTCTTGCTTTCTGATATGAACTAACACTATAGAAAAAATTTAACTCTTTCAAAATCAGTTAAAAATGTCATGTAGGAAAGAATGTATGATTTTGATCAACAGTGCAAATTATCAGAGAAATTAATCTGGTGATCTGCCTATTTTGGAATAAAATTCAAATATTTTAGAACAGCCTGGATGTACTGTTGTCCCTGGGGGATAGTCATTGTCTTCCTGAGCCTAAAACCAGAAGATCCCCAAAGCCAAATATTGGTGACTGCAGTTCAATTTTTCTTACAAAACCACACAACTGATCACAGGAGGAAGAAGAGATGAATACCCTACAAAAGCTCATCACTTCCTCTTCCTTTCATTACAAAGATAGGGTTTAGAGATAGTGAATAGCATTATACAGTTCCTCTGATTTAGAAGATGTTTTGCAGGAGAATGTGGGGATTTTCTTCAAAGACTGTGTCAAAAAAATACTATATGTTATAATGTCTCCATTTTGCATTGATAAGAAGGAGGTAGGGAATTGAAATGTAATTATTTCCATGCAACGTTTTTGGAAACATATGAAAACAAACTGATAAGGAAGAATTGACATTAATTAGGCATTGCTATAAATGCTATTATTTTGCAGATAAGGCTTTAAAACACTTACTACCACTGGATTAATTTCAAATTAAAGCCGAACTTTTAAAGACAATATTATTAGTGTTCAAGAATAAAATCCTCTTCCTGGATACATCATGGGAGTATCTGCAATATGCTATTTAAAATATATCAATACCCTAAGCCTGGTTTTGCAAAGTCAGGTAAGTTCATGAACGTCAATCATTTAGCATTTATCAAAAATTGAAGAAATGTTTCTGTTTGTCTGTTTTAGAGAGAATGCCTCATAAAGTGGTCTGTCTTCACTCTTCTATCAAAGACAGAAAAGAAAAACCACATCATGTCAAATTGTGGTTTGGAGCTGTGTCTCACAGAAATGGAGTTGCCTCCCTAGCGCTGATTTCTGATGCTTAGTCCTCCTCAAAATTACTTCCTAAAGATACCATTACATTGGGCCATTTTTCTGAGAGCCAGGTACAACCATCCAAATCAACCTACCAAGCTGAAAGCATAATTGTCTCATACCATAGGGACTATGAATGCTTCAAAGTGCCTCTGGACAGCGGAGACACATGCGAGCAAAAGGAAGGGGGAAACACCAAGAGCAAAACTATGTTGTTATCCTGCAACTTTTCATATATATCCTTCCCTTGCACCAGGAACATTCTAGCTCTGTATCAGCAGCTCTCACCAACTCATTGCTTAAAACTAAATGAACTTTATTAAAAATAAGAACAATCTTTAAATAGACTTTGTGTGGGAAGTTAACAAGATCTTGATTTAAAGCATGTCATTCAGTGATATTCATTTTTCTTTATGAAGATGAGGCTCCCTCCCATGAAGCAAAGAAGAGATAACAGCTTAGGATTTCTGATACACACAATGCAAACATACTGTGCAGTACACAAAGTCCAGACACTACCTTGAAGAAACCCGAACAATGTTTCAACACAGATCTTCATATTTCTGCAAACAGCATTTACTATGGTAGCTCTAGTAGTGTTCACATGAAAGTTCCTCAGGGATATTACATTTTGTATCTTATACTGTCCCTTACTTAAAATGTAATCATAAATTTGAGATAAATTAAAAAGGAGGCACAGTGAAGTCAAGAGCCAAATCATGTTAGTAAAATACAAGCAGAATTTATTTAAAAATTCTGGCCAATGGGCAATTTAGGTCCTACAAAATGGCCTTTGCTCATAGACATTTTCTGAAAAAGATAACATGAAAGTGTTTACCTAGCAGATCCTCAGATTATTATTATTACTGACACTATC